AGTGTCCGCTGCGAACGCCGCGCCCCTCCTCCGGGGACATTTCCCCGCCCACTCGCGTGGCCTTCTGGGAAATGTAGTCTTTTCAAAGAAATCTGAAATTCGCCAATAGGCAGACGAGAGTTTGGCGCATGCGCATAGGCAGAAATGAAGCAAAAAGGGGAATGGTGCCGGTCAACAACCGGAACCCAGAAAACTGTAAGTTTAGGGTAGCGGGGAAATTCAACGCCCACTGGAGGAAGAGACTTAGGGCTACGCCCACTCCCATATTTTGACCCGGAAGTTATTTCTTTGTAGCGTAAAAGACTACTTTTCCCGACGTGCCCCAGAAAAGTGCCCTCGATCAGTTTCCGAAGGGCCCGAGTTAGACTTTCTTTTTCTCTTCCAGCTTTTGGTACTTGCCAGACAGGTCGTCGTCTTTCTCGGGGTATCCAGGGTGCGGACAAGGTGGGAGAACCCTAGGGAATCCAAGCTTAGGATCTCTTAGCCTCTCTCCAACCTCGGACTGGAGAGGAGACCCTGGCTGAGGGAAATGAACTCACCCGCTCAAAGCTCCGGCGAGCAAGTGGCGAACCTTGGACCCGAACCGGGTACTTGTGGCACGTTGCAAGGGGAAGGGTGTCCTCCTGAGCCGGGTGTCACTCAGCCGCTGGTTATCCCCTTTTAATCCAAGGAGGGCCCTTTTGGTTCCTCTTCCCCCCAGCACCCAGAGCTCTGCCTTTTTTTTTTTTTTTTTTTTTTTTTTGAGACGGAGTCTCGTTCTGTCGCTCAGGCTGGAGTACAGTGGCCTAATCTGGGCTCACTGCAAGCTCCGTGTCCCGGGTTCACGCCATTCTGTTGCCTCAGCCTCCCCAGTAGCTCGGACTACAGGCGCACGCCGCCACGCCCGGCTGATTTTTTTTTTTTTTTTTTTTTTTTTTTGTATTTTTAGTAGAGATGGGGTTTCACCGTGTTAACCAGGATGGTCTCGATCTCCTGACCTCGTGATCCGCCCTCCTTGGCCTCCCAAAGTGTTGGGATTACAGGCGTGAGCCACGGTGCCCGGCCACTATTGCTCTTCCATGTGTATTTCTGGTGACAATTTCTGACTGCATCAAGGATGTTTTTAGTCCACAGCTGTGGTCTGAATGACATCAAGGAAATCCTGATGCTCCCTGATACTGCTTTGAGGGAGGCCCTGTGAGTTTTCCTGTGGCTGTAAGATTTTTTGCGGGAAGGGAAAGGTCTTGCTCTGTCACCCAGGCTGGAGTGCAGTGGCGCGATCCTGGAACCTCTAACTCCTGGGTTCAAGTGATCCTCCCACTTCAGCCTCCTAAGCAGCTGGGAGTATAGGCAGCATCGATGCCCCTATTTTATTATTATTATTGTAGAGAAGGGGTCTCGCTATGTTGACCAGGCTGGTCTTGAACCCCTGGCTTCAAGCTATCCTCCCACCTAGGCCTCTCAAAGTGCTGGGATTACAGGCATGAGCCACCATGCCTGGCCTTTAAGATTCTTTAGCCTCGTGGGGTCCAATGGAAATATCAAGTGAGTTGCAAACGCAAATCACGTATGTAATTTCAAATTTTCTAATAACCACATAAAAAAATTAAGAGGTTAGATTCATTTTCGTGATATTTTATTTAACCTGTTATACCCAAAATATTATTTCAATGTATAATCCATGTAAAAAAACTGAGGTATTTTCCTTTTTTGTACTGTCTTAGAAATCTTGGCGTGACATGGTGGCTCATGCCTATAATCCCAGCACTTTGGGAGGCCGAGACAGGCCGGGTCACTTGAGGTTACAAGTTCAAGACCAGCCTGGCCAACACGGCAAAACCCGGTTTCTATTCAAAATACAAAAAAAAAAAGGTGGGTGTGGTGGTGGGCGCCTGTGATCCCAGCTACTCAAGAGGCTGAGCCAGGAGACTCGCTTAAATCTGGTAGGTGGAGGTTTCAGTGAGCTGAGATCGCACCACTGCACTCCAGCCTGGGCTACAGAGCAAGACTCCATCTTAAAGAAAAAAAAAAAAAAAAAAAAAAGCCGGGCGCAGTGGCTCATACCTGTAATCCCAGCACTTTGGGAGGCTGAGGCAGGCAGACCATGAGGTCAGGAGTTTGAGACCACCCTGGCCAACATGGCGAAACCCCATCTCTACTAAAAATACAAAAATTAGCCAGGCCTGGTGGCGGGCGCTGGTAATCCCAGCTACTCTGGAGGCTGAGGCAGGAGAACTGCTTGAGCCCAGGAGGCGGAAGTTGCAGTGAGCCGAGATCATGCCATTATACTCCAGCCTGGGCAACAACAGCGAGACTCTGTGTAAAAAAAAAAAAAAAAAAAAAAAAAATCAGAAAAAAGAAAATCTAGTATTTCACATTTCCAACATATTTCAACTCAGACTAGCCACAAGCAGCTCTAGACGGTCTCCTTTAAGTCAAATCCACTGTCTGCTTAAGACAGTGTTTCGGGTGGGTGGTGACAGTACAGTACTGGAAGGGGAAGGAAACAAGCTTTGTTTCCTGGGTCCTGTTGCTCAGCAGCTTTCTACACCCTTGATTCTCAAACTTCCTAGTGTGCATCAGAATCACATGGAGAGTGATCATCAGCCTAAGTCTGGGATGAGACCCAAGAAAGTGCTTTTTTTTTTTTTCTCTCTCTCTCTCTCTTTTTGGTAGAGATTTTGTCTTGCTATATTGCCCAGGCTGGTCTTGAACTCCCGGACTCAAGCAATTATCCCACCTCAGCCTCCCAAAGTGCTGGGATTACAGGTGTGAGCCACCACGGCCGGTTGACATCATTTTCTTAAATGCCCCTCCACTAAACCCCTTGAGGCTGCCCCACATGCTTCCCTGTAATCACAGCACTTTGAGAGGCCAGGGTGGGTGGATCACCTGAGATCAGGAGTTCGAGACCAGCCTGGCCAACATGGTGAAAACCCATCTCCGCTAAAAACACAAAAATTAGGCCGGGTGCAGTGCACCCGGGCCCCGTCCACTCATGACATACTTAGTTCTTGGCTCCCCTGCTGGAAATTAAGACCAGCCTCTAGGTGTTTCCATTTCCCACCTTCTCAGGCTCTCTCCTGCCTTTCTCCACATAGCTCCCACAGTCACAGTGAAGTATGCCGAGGATGGGGTCACTGGGCTGACGATGGGGTCGGCTGATGAGCCCTTCATGGGCTGAGCTGCTCTTGGATGCAGCCCTGTATCAGCATGACCTCTCTGTATTTTATGCATACGGATTTCACTAGACATTTGATGCCGCTGTATAAGATACAGAGTTGGACAGAGCCAAGAGTTTTTTTTTTGGTTTTTTGTTTGTTTGTTTGTTTGTTTTAAAGACAGAGTTTAACTGTGTCACCCAAGCTAGAGTGCAGTGCCATGATCTCAAGAGCCAAGGTTTAAACAGCGATTCTAAAATGTTCCTGGGGTGGGTGTGGTGGTTCACACCTGTAGTCCCAGCTACTCAGGAGGCTGAGGTAGGAGGATCACTTGAGCCCAGGAGATCCAGGTTACAATGAGCTGTGATCATGCCACTGCACTGCAGCCTGTGTGACAGAGCAAGACCCTGTCTCCAAAACTGAAAACATTTTTAAATTTAAACTTCCTGGGTCTCCCCTTTTCTGGTCTTAGTGAATTTTTTTTTTTTCCTTTGATTACAGATCTCACTGTTACCCAGGCTGGAGTGCAGTGGCTCAATCATAGCTCACTGTAGCCTCAACCTCCCAGGCTCAGGCGATCTCCTGCTAAACTTCCAGAGTAGCTGGGACCACAGGCACATGCCACCACAGCTGGTTAATTTTTTGTAGAGATGGGGTAGGGGGGCAGTGTCTCACTATGTTGCCCAAGCTGGTCTTGAACTCCTGGGATCAAGCAATCCTCCTGCCTTGGCCTCCCAAAGTGCTGGAATTACAGGTATGAGCCACCGCATCTGGTCCTCAGTGCACTTCTTTTTTTTTTTTTTTTTTTTTTTTTTTTTGAGATGGAGTCTCGTTCTGTCGCCCAGGCTAGAGTGCAGTGGCGCAATCTCGGCTCACTACAAGCTCTGCCTTCCGGGTTCAAGCCATTCTCCTGCCTCAGCCTCCCGAGTAGCTGGGACTACAGGCGCCCACCACCATGCCCGGCTATTTTTGTTTTTTTTTTGTATTTTTAGTAGAGAGGGTGTTTCACCATATTAGCCAGGATGGTCTCGATCTCCTGACCTCGTGATCCACCTGCCTCAGCCTCCCAAAGTGCTGGGATTACAGCAGTGAGCCACCTCGCCTGGCCCTCAGTGCACTTCTAAGACACTGTAAAACTAGTCCCAGAATGTTAACTGCACAGATACAGTTTTAGAGACAATTTAGGGTGTTCACGCACCCTCTTGAACCCCCATCCAGGGGAGAGAAATTAACCAGAGCTTGCAAATTGACAGCCACAGGCCCTATTGCAAACAGGTGTTGCTTGCCACCTTCCTTCCTTCCTCTCCTCCCGCACAACTTTAAGTTTTTTTTAGCACCCTGCCTAGAAAAAAAAAGTTTTTCCTAGTCACAATCATAAAAATGCAGATTTCTCTTTTAAAAGCTAGGTTTCAGTTGCCTTTTTTATTTTTTTGAGGCAGAGTCTCACTGTGTCACCCAGGCTGGAGTGCAGTGGCCCGTTCTTGGCTCACTGCAACCTCTGCCTCCCGGGTTCAAGTGATTCTCATGCCTCAGCCTCCTGAGTAGCTGGATTACAGACATGCACCACCACACCCGGCTAATATTTTGTATTTTTAGTAGAGACGGGGTTTCACCGTGTTGGCCAGGCTCGTCTCGAATTCCTGGCCTCAAATGATCTACCCACCTCAGCCTCCCAAAGTGCTGGTATTACAGGCGTGAGCCACCTCGCCCAGCCACAGATACTTTTGGAAAGCAGAAACTCTTGCCCCAACACCGCGAATGAGCACGCCTCATAGTGAGGACCGTGAGGTCAAGAAGAACGGTGATCATTAGGAACCAATGATGTTGAGAAGCCTGAACCCTCACCACCTGTTTTTTTTTTTTTTTTTTTAGTAGCTATTGTTTACGTTCCCAGGGTAGGAACAGCCTCTTATCACCTCTGTCTAGCCAGTGCCCAGCGCAGGGCACACCGTTAGCACCAATAAATGTTGAGGAGGAAGCCTGGAAACAAGAGGGTGTGAATTCGGTCCACGCGCCACATTTTGCCCTCGAGCCGCCAGGGGGCGGTAGGACCTGGGCCAGGCCGTGTCTGGTCGTGTGGGGGAGGCGGGCAGCCCCAGAAGAGGGCGGTAAGGGCGCATTCCCGCATTCTGGCCCGCACCTCTTGGGGTTTTCTCGGGCCTCCCTCGGCCCGCCGTGCTCCCGCCCCACCCCAGACGAAGAGGACCCAGAAAAAAATAGGCTGCAGTGCCCTGAAAGAAGAGGCTTTATTGGGGGTGGGGGTAGTGGGGCAGCCGCGGCGGTAACTCCGGCCCTCTTAACAGTCAAGGGAGAGAGTAGTTCAGTTTGCTTGGCAGAGAAGGGCTGGGCAGTTTCACTGGCGGAGTTGTGGGTGGTGGTCAGTTTCCCAATGGGGGACTGTAAGTTTTATAGAGGGGGCTGGTCAATTTCACAAAGTCAAGTCGATTTCATCTTCCCCAATGCAGAGGGCCGACCCGTCTCCAGGCCTTTTACTAGACGCACCCCGCCCTGTTCCTCTGACACGCACGTTACTTCCGGCCGGGGGTCCCAACCTGCTCAAACCTCAAGGTTTGCGCTCCTCCTGGGGACAGAGGGCCAGAAGGAAGACCGGCCTCAGGGACCTGTGCACCGCACCCAGGCTCAGGGTGGCGATTTGTGCCCCAAGACCACTGTCTTCTCTTTACCCCGGGGATGCGTCCCAGACTGAGTTCTGACTAGAGTGGCCCTCCAGGGGGGATGTACCTTTCCCCACCCAGCGTCCTGGCACGGGAGGGGTGGGGGGAGCGACAAGGGCTAGAGGCACACGGGTAACGGGGCTCCCACCTGCTCCAGGCCGTTCTCCGAGGCCTTTCTGCGGGGGGGCCACATCACCGCCAACTTTCCGTCGCCCCTGCTCGCTGCGGGGGAAGGAGCGCTCAGCTCACCAGCGGGCGGCAGCCAGGATGAAAGAGGCCGGCCGCACCCCTTAAACACACACAGGCGTTCACCCTCCGCCCTCCCCCCATGGAAGCCTCCATTCAACTCCAGGCACCCAGGAACCCGAGGGAGGAGGGAGGTGAACCCAGAACGGAGAAGCAGGAGCCCGAAAATTCAGAGGGAGGACCCAGGAGTGCCAGAATCCAGTCAGGCTTCCCTGGAACCCGACAAAAAGGAAGACATCTGGAATGCCCCCACCCCCGCGCAGTCTGCGTGGTGTGGATCAGAGAGTCCATCACTCCGGGTGGAGGGGTGGATCACAGCGAGTAATGGAGCTCCAGAAGGGGTAGGCAAGACAAAGTTGAGAGGGGGTCCCAGGAGTTTGAGAGCTTGGAGAGAGAGACCCCGAGAATCGGAGGGCCAAAGGAGAGGCCACTGAAGTTGGGCAGTCAGTGGGGACGGCTGGAACCCTGGGGGTCCCCGGCGTTGCTACGCCTGCGGCTTACCGGTGAGGCTCGGCGTAGGCTCCTTGAACTCCGCGGTGCCATAGACGCTGCGCCGCTGGCGCTGCAGCTCCTGCTCGCGCTCGCGCACCGCGCGCACCTCCTGCTCCAGCAGTGACGGAGTGAAAGGCGGCGGGGAGCTGCCCAGCACCGGGCACCCGCCCTGCACGGCAGAGCGCGGCCGTCCCCCGGGTTCTGGCAGCCTCTGCAGGCCCGCGCCGCCCCCTGCCCCCGCCGAGGAGCCGCTCCCCGCTGCGGCCTCGAAGAAGCGCTTGAGTTCGCCCAGCGGCTGCGGCGGCGACCCGGCGCGCGGCTCGGGGGCCGCGGGGCGCGCCAGCGCCGCCTGCCGGTGGGCATCCCGCTCGATGTCCCGCTGCATCTGCGCGCCCGCCCGCGCCCGCTCCAGGGCGCGCGGGAGCGCGGGGCCAGGACCCGGCAGGTTGAGCACCGGCCGCACGCGCAGCTCGACGAGTTCGCGGCCCGCGCGGCCCGGGCTCAGGCCCCGGCTCCGGCGCAGGCTCGCCTCGCGTTCGCAGCTGCGGCGGATTTCGCGCTCGATGGGCGTCTCCATGAACAGCTCCTCCGGGAGACGCTGGGGAGCCTTGGGGCACGGCGGAAAACGCAGGTGGGGGGCTTCCGAGCCTGACCTGGAGGAGGAGGTCTCAGGGCCTGGAGGGGGACGCTGCCCCTGGACCTCCACCCTTTGCGCTTCGGACGGCCCAGGGTCGTCTCTGCCTGGCTCAGGACTCTCAAAACCCGCAGCTGTGGACAGCCCGGGGCGCTCTGCGTTCTGCTCGACTGATGGCTCGAGGACTTCGCTCTCTTGCTCGAGGATCTCTACGTCCTTTGCGGAGGGCTTGGGGACCTCGGTGTTCAGCTCCGCAGCAGCTCTGGGGCTTCGTCGTCTGGTCCTGGGGGCTTGTGGCCCCCCTCTTCAGAAGACCCCAGGGTTTCGTTCTCCGGCCGGTGAGGGCCTTGGTGTCCAGGGTTTGAAGCAGCTCGGAAGCCTTAGTTCCCAACCGGGGTTTTGATGCCCAGAGCGAGGACAGAGGGCCCTGTGAGGCACCTGTGGCGGCAGTGGCCGCCCGTGGGTTCCAAGGCGTCGCCCGCACCGGCCGCTTCTCTGACCCGCCTCTGGCCTCAGAGAACGGCCCCCGGGGGCAGGGCCGGGCACCGCCCCCGGCACCTGCCAGGAGGACTCCGGCCCCGCCCTGGCCCCGCCCTCGGGACAGGGGCGCCTCGGTGGGGCACTCAGTTTCATCAGCTAGCGCGCTCAGTCACCTCAGGGCACAGGACTTCTTGGAAGAGGGCTTCCCTAGACCCGGCCCCGCTCTCTGGGGGGCCGCTCTGGGTGCTGTGTTCTACTGAGCACACCCTGGCACTTTTTCAGAGCCATGTCCCCGTCATCGTCCAGGAGACTGGGCCCAGTAGCGCGTCGGACTGGGGTTCTGAACCACTAGCCCATTGGTGAGGTGTCCCCCGAAGCCGTCTTTTCGGGACCCGGGCAGCCCCGCCCAGTCGGTGCCAGACAGCGGGCAGCGAGCCTCAGACCCCTGGGCCCTCCCTCCGATCCAGCCTTGCAGCGCACAGCACGGGCCCGAGGGGGCGCCAGGAGCCGCCTTACTGCGCGCTGGGGTCTCCCTACCAGTGCTTGGGCTCAGCGAGGTTCCCAGCCGCGCGCCACTGCCCCCCGCCAAGCCGAGAAGCGGCTTCCCCTCTCCTCCCGGAAAAATCCGGGAGGTGTCCGCGGCCAAGGGCACTCCCTGATTGAGGGAGGAGGAAGAGACAGACACAGCGCGCCACAGGCGCAGCTTAGCGGTTGCGGTTGAAAGGCGGTCACCTTGGGCCCGGGCGCCCGGGGAGGCCCAGACAGGAAACAGGAGGCGTCCAGGGTAGGGGGAGAGAGCAGCTGGGGCTGGATCATGCGGTTCAAGGGCAGGATCGATGCCCTTGAGCGGGCCACCCTCCCCTGGGAACATTTTCCACTTTCCCCCTAATGGAAGCAGACTCTTCCCAGAACCTGCCCCCAACGCCACCATTCTGGGGTGACTAGAAGGAAAAATACATTACCGGCCGGGCACGGAGGCTCATGCCCGTGATTCCAGCACTTTGGGTGGCCGAGGCGGGAGGATCACCTGAGGTCAGGAGTTCGAAAACAGCCTGGCCAGCATGGCCAAACCCCGTCTCTACTAAAAATACAAAAAAAAATTAGCCGGGCGTGGTGGCGGGCACCTGTAATCCCAGCTACTCGGGAAGCTGAGATGAGAGAATCACTTGAACCTGGGAGGTGGAGGTTACAGTGAGCCAAAATCGCGCCACTGCACTCCAGCGTGGACAATAAGAGCAAAACTCTGTCTCAAATAAATGAATAAATAAATAAATAAATATAAAAATAAAAGCGGTATACTTCTGGGAAAAAATTTTCTCTATAGGACCTTCCCCACTGTATCACCTCCTGGTCCTTCCTCCAGCCACGCCAACTGGGCTGGGTTCTTGGCTCCCATTCCCAGGAACTTTTTTTTTTTTTTTTAGACAAAGTCTCATTCTATCACCCAGGCTGGAGTGCAGTGGCGTGATCTTAGCTCACTGCAACCTCCGCCTCCCGAGTTCAAGCGATTCTCCTGTCTCAGCCTCTGGAATAGCTGGGACTACAGGTGTGTGCCACCACGCCCAGCTAATTTTTTTGTATTTTTAGTAGAGACGAGGTTTCGCCATGTTGGCCAGGCTGGTCTCAAACTCCTGACCTTGTGATCCGTCCACCTCAGCCTCCCAAGGTACTGGGATTACAGGTATGAGCCACCGCGCCCGGCTTCCGGGAGCCTTTTCTGACAAGGGCACCTATGATGTCCATTTGGCAGATTAAATCACTGACTTCATCCCCTGTCCTCCTCTTCATTAGCTCCTTGGTCTTTGGGCACACCACCCCCTCCTGATTTCCTCCTACTTCACTAGCACCCCTTCTCAGACTTCTGTCTCACCTTTCTTCCCCTCTGGCTTCATTGGGATCACCTGATGAAAGAGAGGAGCCTGAAGCCAAGGTGTTTATCCCAGCCAGGCACGGTGGCTCACACCTGTAATTTTAACACTTTGGGAGGCTGAGGCAGGAGGATTGCTTGAAACCAGCCTGGGTAATATAGGCAGACCTTGTCTCTACGAAAAAGAAAGAAAGAAAGGGCCGGGTGCGGTGGCTCAAGCCTGTAATCCCAGCACTTTGGGAGGCCGAGACGGGCGGATCACGAGGTCAGGAGATCAAGACCATCCTGGCTAACACGGTGAAACCCCGTCTCTACTAAAAAATACAAAAAACTAGCCGGGCGAGGTGGCAGGCGCCTGTAGTCCCAGCTACTCGGGAGGCTGAGGCAGGAGAATGGCGTAAACTTGGGCGGCGGAGCTTGCAGTGAGCTGAGATCCGGCCACTGCATTCCAGCTTGGGTGACAGAGCGAGACTCCGTCTAAAAAAAAAAAAAAAAAAAGAAAGAAAGGAAAGAAAGAAATCATACTTTTTAAAAATTAGCTGGTTATGGTGGTTTTTGTCTGTAGTCCCAGGTACTTGGGAGGCTGAGGTGGGAGGATCATTTGAGCCTAAGAGTTTGAGGCCGCAGTGAGCTATAATAATGCCAACACACTCCAGCCTGGGTGATAGAGCAAGACCCTGTCTCTAAATAAATAAATAAATAAATAAATAAAATAACATTTAAAAAAGATGTTTAGCTGGGCACGGTGGTTCACACCTGTAATCCCAACACTTTGGGAGGCTGAGGCGGGCAGATGGCTTGAGCCCCAGGAGTTCAAGACCAGCTTGGGCAACGTAGTGAGACCCCATCTCTACAAAAAAGATGCAAAAATTAGCAGCATATTGGTGGTGTGTGCATACAGTCCCAGCTACTCAGGAGGCTGAGGTGGGAGGATCACCTGAGCCTAGGGAAGTCAAGGCTGCAGTGAGCTGTGATCACACCACTGCACTCTAGCCTGAGCAAGAGTAAGACTGTCTCAAAAAAAAAAAAAAAAAAAAAAAGGCCAGGCGCGGTGGCTGAAGCCTGTAATCCCAGCACTTTGGGAGGCCGAGACGGGCGGATCACGAGGTCAGGAGGTCGAGACCATCCCGGCTAACATGGTGAAACCCCGTCTCTACTAAAAAATACAAAAAACTAGCTGGGCGAGATGGCGGGCGCCTGTAGTCCCAGCTACTCGGGAGGCTGAGGCAGGAGAATGGCGTAAACCCGGCAGGCGGAGCTTGCAGTGAGCTGAGATCCGGCTACTGCACTCCAGCCTGAGCAACAGAGTGAGACTCCGTCTCAAAAAAAAAAAAAAAAAGTTGGCCAGGGATGGTGGTTCATGCCTGTAAATCCCAGCGCTTTGAGAGGCGGAGGCAAGTGGACCACCTGAGGTCAGGAGTCCAAGACTAGCCTGGCCAACATGGCGAAAACCCATTTCTACTAAAAATACTAAAAATTAGCCAGGCGTGGTGGCGGGCGCCTACAGACCCCGCCTACTTGGGAGCTACTTGGGAGACTGAGGCAGGAGAATTGCTTGAACCTGGGAGATGGAGGTTGTAGTGAGCCGAGATCGCACCATTGCACTCCAGCCTGGGCAACAGAGTGAGACTCTGTCAAAAAAAAAAGTTAGGCCGGGCGCGGTGGCTCAAGCCTGTAATCCCAGCACTTTGGGAGGCCGAGACGGGCGGATCACGAGGTCAGGAGATCGAGACCATCCTGGCTAACATGGTGAAACGCCGTCTCTACTAAAACATACAAAAAACTAGCCGGGCGAGGTGGCGGGCGCCTGTAGTCCCAGCTACGCGGGAGGCTGAGCCAGGAGAATGGCGTGAACCTGGGAGGCGGAGCTTGCAGTGAGCTGAGATCCGGCCACTGCACTGTAGCCTGGGTGACAAAGCAAGACTCCGTCTCAAAAAAAAAAAAAAAAAAAGTTTACCCCATGTCCCCTCCCTCCAAGCCCCATTGGTCCCTCTGCTATAGGCAGCAGCTCTACATAGCTCTCTCCAGGGCAAAGAGGTATCACAGCTCCCAGGTGTTGCTAACCCAGGGTATTGGTACTGTGCCTTGATGGTTTCCCCTCCACCTTTATAAACTGGGTCTTTATTAAGTTCTCATCAATCACTGCGTTCAAGTGCACAATCTTTTTTTTTTTTTTTTTTTTGGAGGAGTCTCGCTCTGATGCCCCTGGAGTGCAATGGCGCGATCTCGGCTCACTGCAGCCTCTGCCTCCCAGGTTCAGGCAATTATCTGCCTCAGCCTCCCAAGTAGCTGGGATTACGGGCACCCACCATCACACCCAGCTAATTTTTTGTATTTTTAGTAGAGACAGGGTTTCACCATCTTGGCCAGGCTGGTCTTGAACTCCTAACCTCGTGATCACTCGCCTCGGCCTCCCAAAGTGCTGGGATTACAGGTGTGAGCCACCACGCCCAGCCTCAAGTGCACAATCTTTCCTGCCAGGATTCAGGCTCTGACAAATTTCAATCTCATGTTTTAAACATCTAGGCTGGGCTGTGCACAGTGGCTCATGCCTGTAATCCCAGCACTTTGGAAGGCCGAGGTGGTGGATCACTTGAGGTCAGGAGTTCGAGACCAGCCTGGCCAACATGGTGGAGTCCCGTCTCTACTAAAAATACAAAAAAAAAAATTGCTGGGTGTGATGGCGTGGGCCTGCTGCTCAGGAGGCTGAGGCAGGAGAATCCTTTGAAACTACGAGGCGGAGGTTGCAGTGAGCCAAGATCGTGCCACTGCACTACAGACTGGGTGACAGAGTGAGACTCAGTCTCAAAAAAAAAAAAAAAAAAAATCTATGCTGGTTTTGGTGGCTCACGCCTGTAATCCCAGTGCTTTGGGACGCTGTGGCAGGAGGATCACTTGAGGCCAGGAGTTTGAGACTAACCTGGGCAACATGGTGAGACTCCACCTCTAGTATATACATATATATAATATGTATATATAATATATATATATAAAATATATATATAATCTTTATGCTGATGTCTTCCAAATTTATATCTCTAACTCTGACTGCTCCCCTAGGCTTTAGACTCATATCTAGCAGTCTCCAGTCTAATAGACATTTCAGACTGAACACTTCCAAAACCACA